TTTGATGTTACAGTTACAACCAAATTACTGTAATATGAACAACAATAACAAAAATACACTGTTGTGTTTTATAGTTCATACCACTGTAATAACACAAACAGTGGAAGTTGTTTACTGTGTTCAGTTTATTTAACCATTTCTTTACAATCATGTATTTGTCATTTGCTGAAAGTGAATTTCACAGTGTGTTTTTACAGTGTACGGGTATGTGTGTGCATTTCGTGGTTGAAGGAAAGAAACGATGTGTAAAAAAGCATAAATCATCCATAACATACTGAATTGAATTGGATTGAAATCTTTATTTTGAACATGTAAAAAAAAACACAAACAAAAACAAAGCAAAAAAAAAGTACAACAACGTATAATTCAAAGAGACTAATAAGTACCTCCAAACAAACAGAAAAAGAAAACGAGCAGTCACAACTAATAACCTTCATGTTCAAAAAGGAGCAGGAAGAAGCATAAGCTTATTTAATCCCACCTCTTTTCCATTATCTAGTAATAAATAGATATACATACATATACACATACATATATGTTCCTATCTACATACATGCACATACACACCTATTCACAATTTCAGTAACCCCAGTAACACTTCATAGTATACACAACCTACAGATATATATACACACACCATCATACCCGTGCCCCCGCACGGGTATGATGGTATGTGCTCAAACAAAAGAGCAGAGCACACACTCATCCTGAGCGGCATACTCCTGAAGGTAAAGTTTCTGCACACAGCCGGCTGCTCTCCTAGGTTTAATATAAAGTTATACTTTAAACTTCCTGTCCCTGCTGACTAACACACACACACACACACACACACACACACACACACACACACACACACACACACACACACACACACACACACACACGCGCGCGCACACACACGCGCCACTTCTCTTGACTAATTCATTTCTGACCTAATTACATTTAAGTTGTTTATGATTACTGATGATTACTTGCACAATGCCGGCATTTACTGTGATTTTTATAGTTTTCCTGAAGAAGTGAGTCCTTGTGTGGGGAAGTGATGACGTGAGATGGCTTTCAGCAGGGAATGAATGAAAGTCAGATCCAAGATGATGCTGCTGAAACCGTAATTAGGGCAGCACGCTCAGAGGCAACACATCACAGGCCGGCTTTTCATCTAAAGATTCATCAGCAATCAGCAGCTCATCATTCAGAAAACAAGAGAAAATGAACACAAGCAAACATTTGTTCAAAGTTGTGAAGATTTTTCCAAAGCCCTAACATCAAGGCAGAGCGTGTTCTCTTGATAGCATGATGCTGTCATTTGCACCATCTGGTTGCATCTCTTATGACGGCGTGAGACGCAAATGTTTTCAGATGTTTTACAAATTGAGACGTCTGCATGAGGAAGTCTGACAGCCAGTCCTGGAGGGATGAGAGGGTGAAAAAGGAATGGAAAGGTTTGGCTGGAAGGACAGTCCTCGGAGGAACCACGTCCAGCCTCCTCAACCTTCTGAAAAAGAATCAATGAATATATGATGGGGGCAGGAACAGGTCAAACATCACCTTCCTCTCAAAGTCACAGGTTGAAAATGTCTCCAGCCAATCAGCAGGAGCAAGATGTATGAGAATACATTCATGTTGGGTGCAGAAGCAGCAGTTTCTTATCTGTGAATTATGGATTGAGACGTGCAGCACCTGCACAGCCCCCGACGCTGCTGCAGCGGATGCTCAACCTGAACAGGAACTCTACTTTTCATTTGCCTCGCATATTCAGAGCATCGTTTCTGGGAATCAATTAGAGTTGGAGCAGCATGGTACCATGTGTTAAGGGGATTAGTCGGTCACTCGCTCGGCTGCATTCAGCTCCGCCTGTTCTCACAGCTTTACATGTTGAAACAGGCTTACTTTACACTCGGTCAATATGGAGCAGATACAGCAGATGGGAGAAGAAGAGATGGCTAGCATCGAGCCCACTCAGCTCCTCCACATCATGAGCTCAAAATCGTTCTATTAAAACCAAGCCTGACTGTTATTTGGAGCATAAACAGGATCAAAGCTGCACCTGTTTGACAGCAGCATACATTTTCTTTATTATGATAAATTGTAGGTGGAGAGGATTAAGGGATTACAGCGCAGCGACACGCGTCTCCAAGACAGATGGGGTCAAGAGTTCAGTGCAGCCCAGGAGTGACGGGATGGCGGGGCTCTTTCCAAGAGCCGGGCTCTGAAGCAGTGCCAGAGCCACAAGCTACTCAACGCCTGCCAGAGCGGGGGTGGAGGTGGGGGTGCATGGCAGCGGATAAACGCACAGCGCTGCAGGTCGATGGTAGTGAGAGGAGTGTGGACTGTCTCAGTCACACACGGGTCAGGTTCAGAGAAGCCTCACCTAAGCCCAGCTCACCTGTTATGTTTGAAACTGGGTTGTAATCAGGTTCAGCTGGAGTTTTAACCAGTCTGTTTTGAATTCCTCTGAATTTACCAGAACTAAAGGTTTGGGTCGGGCTCTTCACCTGATTTTCCTGCCCTGACATGTTATACATCGGTTCATAATAGGGTTAGGTAAACTAAACTGGTCAGATTGTTAACCTTTACGCCCAGTTCATGCTTCTGCATCTGCCCCAGCGCGGAGACACGCAACACCATTATCCGTCCTCGCGAGGGCTCTCAGCAGGCTCGCATGCACAGATGGAGTCGAGCCTACTTTTCTAAAAAAAAAAATCTGTCGAACAAGACGGAGAATGCAGCTTGCGTCAACTGCACCGTCACTGCACCCTCAAAAAATTAAGAGAGCTGAAGATTAGCGGCAGACACGGTGCAGCAACTTTACCATCACCATCAGCTCAGGCAGAGGAGAGAGAAAAAGGGAAGAGTTTCCTGACACCGTGTGCATTCCCACAATGACTGATAGCAGCAGCAGCTGACCAACCTGTGGTTAAACGACAGGCAGGTAGATCTATGGAGGAGGAGAGACCAATGGAAATTTAGATCATGAGCAAGCACATGAAATAAAATGTTAAAAGAGGAGTGTGAGAACTTTGTCATTGCATTATTTCCTCGTTGACCGAATATCGTTGACGCACACAACACTGCACAGTGCTCAGCTAATGGCTAGTAAAATGGAATAATTTAAAGACATTTCCTGGCTTGGACAGCTGCAGTGTTTGGGAAACACGTCAGCCTCTTCTCTTAATGTTTAAATAAAACCCTGAAAACTACGGAGTCCGTGTGGCGGACCCTTTTCAGAGATCGTCTCTGATCTTTGCTGCTGACCGGTGGCCCCGGAGACTTTACAAACGTCGAGGTAAGCTATATTTTTAACATTTATGTAACATTTGTGCAGCGCTGAAAGCACCAGTAGTTTATGAAAGTAGTCAGACAAACGAGAGGCGCCTGACTGCAGCTGGGAAAATGCTCCGTGTCCTCACTACTCTGTCAACAATCACAAACGTGTCCTAAAGTAACAGAAACCCTCCAAAACCTTTCTGATAATTTTCTAAACAATACTGTTGGTTTACTATATGTTTCTGAGATGAGCGTCACATATCATCACATATGTTACTGTCATTAAGCAGCAGGTGTGTTAAGCAGTCAGCTGATGTGTAGTTAAGGCCAGATATTTAAGGGCATCAGGGGCAGCGAAGAACAAGAAAGTTGTGTTCAGGCTGGAGATCACACCAGATTTGCTGCTGCTGGCGTGAATCTGCGGGTCTGCAGCCATCCCTGTTGCATCTTCTCATATAGATGAGTAAGAATGATCATTAATCATGATGGAGCCTGGTCTGTTCTTTATTCAGCCATCTTTATTCTCCCTCTGCATACCAATCTCGCGTGAGTTTGTCTTCACACTACGGTGGCCCGAATGGCCAGGCTGTTACAACCCCCTTTTTGACGTGACAGCCGGACTTCCCGTGTAACGAAGGTCCCACCAGATCATACCAGATTTGCTGCTGCTGGCAGATCAGTCATTTTTCGTCATGACCTTTTATCTTCCTATCATCCTTCAGTCATCCAACTGGAACCAGTTAGTTTTCCTGCTCATTCTCAAAATATAAGTTAACAAGCTATAAGGCAGAGTTGTGCAAGTTTTAAGATGACGGTGGTCAATTCAGCAGAGGCGTCAAACAGTGCGTGCATGGATGCTTTGGACGGCAGTGAGGATGACGTTCTGGGAGAAGTCGGCAGGTGTAGCGATCTGATGGCACACCGGACCGCAGCAGCATGAGAGTGAGTGGAAACAGCGAGGCAGAGGGAGTCTGGATAAAAGTCTCATTTGACTTTTGACTTCACATGTCAGCAAAGTTCTGATAGTTTGCATTAAAATAGTATTTTTGCTCAGTTTTTGTTCTCAAAATTTCAATAAAATAAGTTTAATTTAAACAGTGATTTTTTTTTCTTTTCCAGAAGAATAGTCTTGGAAAGGTGGGTCGTGCTACGCATATTCGGGTCAATACGGTAATTAAAATGCATTTTTTAGAAATTACAAAACTTTAGTTTATAGTAATAATAACCATATCTAATGTTTGATTCTCCGCTTTGTTATTTTTAATTTAAAAATAGCTTTCAGGGCACATTTTCCAAAATGATTAAAATGTGATTAATTAAGATAAACTAATTGCAAAGCCTCTAATGTAATCAGATTTTTTTTTATTGAGTCCAATTCTTAGTATATACACTCACCTAAAGGATTATTAGGAACACCTGTTCGACTTCTCCTTAATGCAATTGTCTAATCAACCAATCACATGGCAAGTTGCTTCAATGCATTTAGGGGTGTGGTCTTGGTCAAGACCATCTCCTGAACTCCAAACTGAACGTTAGAATGGGAAAGAAAGGTGATTTAAGCTATTTTGAGCGTGGCATGGTTGTTGGTGCCCGAGTATTTCACAATCTGCTCAGTTACTGGGATTTTCACACACAACCATTTCTGGGGTTTACAAAGAATGGTGTGAACAGGGAAAACCTCCAGAATGCGACAGTCCTGGGGGCGAAAATGCCTTGTTGATGCTAGAGGTCAGAGGAGTCAATGTTTGAAAGATCTTGTGTTGAAAACATTTGGGAATAAAAGTAAAGGAACTGAACAAAGTTTAGTTGTTACTAAATAATATTTTAAAGGGGACAACAAATCCAGTTAATCAGCAATCTAAAACTGTGCATTGAGCCTTTAAAAAGCATAAAACATTACCTTTTGGTTTTCATCTGTCCCAGGAGACCTGATACAGGCCATTCTAATCTCTATTTCATCCCTGATCTCAAAAGACCTGTTTACCCTCCCGTTCGGCCCGGACATGAATATGATAATGAGCTGCTTGCTGATTGGTTGGCTCCCCAGAAGCCTGAGTCAGGCCAACCTAGACACTCAAGTTACAGCAGCCGCGTTTAGCGTTAGCAGCAGCTAGTAGCAGCTAGTATCTTCCAGCAGGTCATGCTGTTAAAGATACGGATTAATTTTTCATTATTCAAGCTAATATGTTTGAACCCGACTTAAAATAAAGTTTAGATGTTGAAGACCAACCAGCCGTTCACCAGGGACTGGGAATGACTGTGTCAGATGGGTGAGTTTTGCCAAGAAGCTAACTATATTAGCACTAATTGCCAACATCATGCATCAATGTAGATGTTGGTTTGTATTTTTTGACATAGAAACAGTATTTTACCTGCATGTTGCACATGTGTTTTAATGTTGCTGTTACTGCGTGCATCAATAAATATTGCTGTTTAATCACTGAAATAACTCGATGAACTTAACTATTTTCTGTAGCCAACACTAATCAAACCTTATATCAATGCTGCTTCCCCCTCCAGTTCATCTCTAACACCAAAGTTTCAGTTTTTAATTTATTTTAACGTAAATCAGCTGCAGCAGCTAAAATGGTTGGACACAAACTCCTGTGCAGTCTAATGCATTAGCAGGAATTATTTATCTGCAGTAATGTGTGAGCTTAAATATTCATCACTCAGGTTTTCCTGCGATAAATGGGAACTCATGTCAATGGAGAGGGAGAACAGTTGTTGTCGAGAAGACCACACAGGTAAGGTCAAAGGTCATACAGGGAACACAATGATTGTTACTGCATCACAAATTACAGATTACCACATGCTTCTGTCTGCAGGTTCCAAGAATGAACCAGGTTGTGTGATTTAGTGATGGGTGGGAGCAAAGGTGTTTAATGTCATTTTATTATTTTTTGATCGATTTTAATATTGGGTTTTGTAAATTGTATTCTATTTAAAGCCTGTATTAATTGCACTTTTCAATATTTTGTCAATTATGCATATTGATTTTCATTTTTATACTATTATTTACTGTGTTGTCACTTATTTGGGGGGATTATTGTCTATTGTATGAATGTGCTGTGTGTGAATTCAATTCAATTCAAAAATACTTAATTAATCCCAGAGGGAAATTAGAGAAATGTGAGAATTAAACGAGCTATGGTCTGACAACGTGTTTCCCTCGTCTCTCGACAGCCACAGACTCTGATTTCTGCAACACGGCCTACGCTAGCTGTGTGCCACTTGTCACCGCCCAGCTTACCCCTAGGGCTGGCACCTGTAACAATTGGGGGCTCGTCCAGGATCCTTTGGAGTAAAGTCACAGCCGGGTGAGGAGTGGAAGTACAGCGTTTGAGATGTCCAGAACTTCAGGGAAGGCTACATCAGTGTGTCATCCAGGGAGTATCTACCACCATTGAACATCATGGCCACTAATGCACCACGGCAGGCGCTGATCGTTAAGATCCAGAGACAGCTTTCTAATTTGAGTACAAGTCAGCTACAAACCATTGTCCTCTCTATTGATGACGGCACTGCAAAGGCCAGTGTTGAAGAGCTAAGTGACATTGACCTGTATGAGCTGATCATCGACTACTTAGAAGTGACAAGTTGAAGGCCATGGAAGATGAAGTTTTGTCCCATATACTCCTCCTAGATGACTTGATCACTAACTTACTGACATCTACAGATGCCGAAGAAACTGGAGTTGAGGTTCCAGTCCATGTCCAGGAGGTCGACCCAACTACTATTCCCCTTCTTTTTACCTCAGAACTGGCCCTTCCCCCACACATTCTGTCACACACCCCAGAGACATTCTACACCCCTTTTCACTTCATCCTGAAGACCATCCCCATCGCCCATTACCGTTCTCATCCTCCAGAGAGGACAGAGGCATCAGTCCATCACAGAAGAGTCTCACCGCTCCACCACAACCCATGGAAACTATTGCTCCTCTACTTGGCATGGTTAGTCCGTCCTCTATCTCTAGAAATCTGGTATTGATTCTTAGTGATGTAGAAAGTCTGCTACCACACAGAGAGTCAGTGGTGGACAAATATCAGATACTGGTTCAGACGTTTCTTATGGTAACATGTGTAAGCAAATTGATGAAGGGTTACAAGAAGGGTTTTCTGAGTCTGAAGTTATCAGAAGTGTACTCAAAATCACAAAACCAGGCACATTCAGAGGCATGTTAACTAACAAGAGCCATTTAAATGTTGATGAACTTTAGAGATTTCTTTGCTCTCCTATTCGTGACAAAAACAGTAATGAGATTTTTCAAGAGCTAGCCAGTGCTAAACAGTCTGAAAAAGAAAGTCCACAACAGTTCATGTACAGAATAATGGGCTTAAAGCAGTGTATTATTTTCGAGTCACAACAAGTTGTTACTGGTTTTCACTGTGATGTGAAACTCGTACAATGTACTTTTCTCCATATGCTCTATCAAGGGTTAAATGAAAAAATGACTATGTGAGACGTGACTTCAAACCTCACCTTAATGACATGCAAGTTAGTGACAACTTCTTACTTGAACAAATCAGTGTCAACTAGTGAAGAAGCCCAAAGACAGAAAAGACTGGGTACAACTATTAAGACTAAGACAGTAAGCGTTGCGACTCTTGACAGTGGTGGCAGGACTAAAGACAGTAAGACTGACAAAGAACGACAGACTCAACAAGATGCTATTAGGGAACTGACAGCACAGGTGTCCTCACTGACTAGACATCTTGCCCAAATGACCAGGCCACCTGACAACGCCTTATCTGTTGACTCTAGTCCTCAAAGACATGGTTCACTGGTAACAGCAGAAAACCAAAGCAGATCTTGTGTACACCAAAATAAAACTTCCTGTCAACATTGTTTTGTGTGTGGCCAAACAGGACACACGGCCATAGGCTGTTTACAACCGAAGGTGTCGGGAAACACGAAGAGGTTGCTGGAGAGGGGCAGCCAGTGACTAGGACAGCCCATGCGCCCCATCAAAGAGTCGACCAAAACCTGCAAAGTCAAAGACAACTCAGCCTCCACCACGAAAGAAACTTGCACTACTCATAGGTAAAAGATGCATGGTTTCATGTGCTCTCAATGGAGCTTCAGTTCAAATGCTACTTGATTCAGGAGCCTAGGTGGCAATGGCGGGGAAAACCTGGATGAAAGAGACATTACCTAATGTTCCCATTCAACCACTTGAATCCCTCCTGTCAGACAAACCACTTAATCTCTGCTGCAAACGGCACAAATGTCCCTTTTGGAGGATGGGCAGACACAGAACTCCAAATACTAAGTAAAAATTATGGACATGTCACTATCCAAGTTCCCATTCTCATCACCCAGGAGTGTCTTAATCACCCCATTTTAGGCAGTAATGTTATTGCTGAGACAATCAAAGCCATCAAAGACACTGACCCTGATATCACAGGTCTACTCAGAGAAGCTTTAAGTGTTGATGACGGTGTAGCCAAAGCCTTGGTGTCTATGCTTGACATTTTGACACTAGCTGACAACTATGTGGAGTGTAATGTTAAGACAGGTAAAAAGGGCGTCATGGTACATGCAGGTTAGATTGGTGAAGTTCGCTGCATAGTGAGAGGCTCTCCAGTGGACGGTGCAACGCTCTTTCAGCCCAGTGTACTGCACAATTGTCCTGATAGTTTAGAGTTGTTCCATGCGTTCATGGATGTTCCTAGCGGGTTTACAATGACTGTCAAAATTCCTGTATAGAATACCACAAAGCATGACATTTACCATCCATAGAGAATTACTCTTGGTACACTCAAAGAAGCTACTGAGATAAAGCCAGACCCAAAGTCCCAACCGTGTGTGAATGCACATTCTGCCAATGTAAGACCAAACCACAAAAATTGTGACAAATGGCAAACAAAACATACAAGTGAAGGATGGCATCCACCAGTCAATTTGTCTTACCTTGGAGAAGATGAGCAAAGCATTGTAAGATACATGTTGTTTGATAAATCTGATGTTTTCGCCAAAACAGACTCAGACATTGGCCGTATTCCAAGTTTGCAACTCAAAATTAACCTCACAGACAACGTATCAGTCCAAACATCTTACAATTCAATCCCCAAACCTTTGTACAAAGAGGTGAAAGTCTATGTCCACAAGCTGCTTGACCATGGCTGGGTTAGAAGTCCACATCACCGTACTCCTCACCAGTGGTGTGTGTTAGAAAAAAGGACGTCTTTATGCGTGTGTGTCAATTTTAGAGGATTAAACCGCAAAACAACCCCTGACTGTCATCCACTCCCACACATTCAAGACTTGCTGGATAACTAAGGGGGATACTCAAGGTTCTCAATACTAAACCAAGGCAGTGCTTATCACCAAGGATTCATGGAGGAAAACTTCAAACATCTCACCACTTTTAGCACTCCCTGGGGTTATATGGGTGGAACCATCTCCCACTTGGCCTTACCAATGCCCCAGCAGTGTTTCAAAGATGCATGGAAGGAGTTCTTGAGGGGTTAAGGGATGAGTGTTGTTCTCCTTACTTAGATGATGTGTTCATTACTCTAAGACTTTTTCTGACCATGTAAATGACCTCAGACATGTTTTACACAGACTTAGAGAACATGGTGTTAAGTTACGCCCTAAGAAGTGCGAACTGTTTAAAAGGCATATCAGGTACTTTGGTCGTCTTGTGACTAACAAAGGTGTCCAGATAGACCCCAAAGACCTAGAAGTGGTTTACCAGCTTAGAGACCGAGAACCAAAGACTGTGGGAGAAGTGAGAGCCCTCCTCGAGTTCCTAGGTCACTACCGGACATTTATTCAGGACTTTTCCAGGTTAGCCAAACCGCTGTTTAAGCTACTTGAGAGTCCCTGTGAGTTAGATTGCAAACCCAAACAAGTCAGATCAAACAAGACAAAACAAAACAGTAACACTAGTGGTCAACTTCCCTCAAAGACACCAGTCAAATGGACTCAAGAACACAGCACAGTAGTGTCACGCTTTGTCCATATGCTGACAAGTCCACCTATTCTCGCATATCCAGACTTTGATTTGCCCTTTTTCCTTCATACCGATGCTTCGAGCGAAGGCCTGGAAGCCGTACTTCACCAGCAACAGGGGAGCAACTTATGTGTCATAGCATATGGTTCCAGAACTCTTACGCCAGCAGAAAAAAACCCATCACATTCATTGTAGCAAGCTTGAGTTTCTCACGTTAAAGTGGGCAATCTGTGATAAATGTAGGGATTACCTTTATTACGCTCCCATTTTCACAGTGTACACAGATAATAATGCCCTCACGTAAGTTTTGAGCATGGCCAAATTAAACGTGGTGGGCATCGGTGGGTGGGTGAGTTAGCGGACTTTCATTTTTCCATCAAGTATCGTCCTGGCAAATCAAACGCAGACGCTGACACACTGTCCAGATATCCCATCAAACTGCCAGATCACTTGTCCGAATATAAAGAAACCATGCCCCCAATGGTCCTATCTGCAATTTGGCAAGGGTACAAAGCCATGAGAGAGAGTGAAGTACCTTGGGTTGCTGCACTAGTGTTCAACTCAAATGCAAGTGACACACCCCAAGAAGGAACCCCGATGCTCTCTCCCGAAGACATCAAAACAGCTCAAAGACAGTATGTTTCAATCACAGAGGTGATACACCTAAAACAAAGAGGATGGAGTCCTAATGAAAAAGACAAGAAACAAATGGCACGTGAAACAAAGAGACTTGTACACGAATGGAATAAACGAAAGCTTGACAAAGGACTGCTCTACCGATGTGCTGGGCAAAGAAAACAGTTCTTCCCACTAAACTGACAAAGACTGTTTAAAAACATTTGCATGATGACATGGGACATGTAGGCGCTGACAAAGTCATTCACTTAGTGAGAGAATGCTTCTTTTGGCCCTTCATGCAGTGGGACATTGAAGATTATGTCATTCGTCAGTGCACATGTAATTAACAGAAACGACCATGTATACTGGATAAAGCACCTTTGGGGTCAGTCACCACAAGTACAGCATTTGAACCCATATCAGTTGACTACCTCCATCTTGATCCGAGTAAAGGTGGTTATGAATATATTTTAGTCCTGGTAGATCATTTCACACGTTTTGCGCAAGCCTACCCGAGTAAGAATGAGTCTGGTAAAACTGCTGCTGAAAAGATCTTCTTTGACTTTATCCCTAGATTTGGATACCCTGAGAAACTCCACCATGATCAGGGCCAGGAGTTTGAAAACAGCCTGTTCCAAAGACTCCAACAACTTGCATGAATAGCCCATTCCCGAACAACTCCCTACCACCCTCAAGGGAATCCTGTTGAGCAGCTAAACAGAACACTACTACAAATGTTACGCACACTACATGAAGAAAAGAAAGCAGAGTGGAAAGACCATCTACCACACATTCTTCACACATGTAACTGTACCAGACATGGAAGCAACTGCGTACTCATCATTTTTCCTGCTTTATGGTATAGCACCTAGATTGCCAGTAGACCTAATCTTTGACATAAAACCTGATAGCGAGTGGAAAACAAGAAAAGAGTATGCAGAAAAATGGGCAACTCATATGCAAGAGGCATACAAAATCGCTCCTGAAAACAGCAACAAAAGCTCTGCAAAAGGGAAAAAGCATTATGACCATCATACAAAAGGCATCCCTTTACACCAGGAGACCGTGTACTAGTCAGAAATCTTTCAGAACGTAGAGGTCCCAGTAAACTAAGAGCTTTTTGGGAAAAATGCATTCATTTAGTTGTTGAAAGGATAGGAGATGGACCTGTATAGCGCATTCAAGCTGAAATCGGAGAACGTAATCTTGGAGTCTTGCACAGAAACCTCCTATTGCTGGTCAATGATTTGCCACTGAAACAGGGACAAAGTCAAAATGTAAACCGGAAAAGACAAAATCACAAGAAAAAACAAGGGAAAATTCAAGAAGCTGCTTTGCAAGGGTCAGAACAGTCTGATGAAGAAGAGGAATACACTTATCACTGGCAACGCGTACCTGTGTACAATATGAGACCAAGACCTCCATCTCAATCACACCCTCAACTCAGAGCTGCAGCCCCTGAATTTCAACCTGTAACCCAAAGTATTCAAAACTATCTAACACACAGGAGCAATGGACACAACCACAAGTTAAACTACAACGTTCAAAAGTACCAACCCTAGCTATTGCTCTGACTTCAGCATGACAAACAGTGCCTACTGTCACAAAACCAGCTGAGATACCCATACCGGATGCAAATGATGCTATGGAAAATGTGCATCAAACTGTTCCTATTGAGGATAGTGAAATGGAAAATAGTGTATCAGATGCACAAGTTTGTGACAATTGGCCTGAAACAACCACACCAGAAGAGGATGGTACAACAGTACAAAGATCAGCGAGAACCGTTAAGCCACGAGAAGTGTTCACCTACAATCAGTTTGGACAACCTTCTTAACACCCTTGGAATGCAGGAGCGAATAGGTTTTTTGCCTGTACACCTTACCCCATGACTTTGTACCCGACACAACCATACATGTCCTATTACCGTACTCCTGTATGGACATGTTAGACTTGTGACAAGACTAAAAACTCTTGACATTTTTGAAGGACCATAAATACTGACTCTGACTGTATATTGGCCTGACTATACTCCTAAGTACAAGATACCGGAGTCATCTCTTGAAGCAGGGGAAAGTGTAGTAGACTGTAAAATGCTATATTATAAGTTTTATGAAAACAGACACCCTTTCTATTTTATTTTTTATTTTTTTGTATAACAAAGCTTATATGTATTATGTAAAGTTAAGGTTGCTGTGGTCATTCCCACCAGCAGAGGGTGCGGTGGCACCACTGCGGGCACAGAGGGCTTCTGCGCAGGCGCAGCTCAGAATTAAATGAGCTATGGTCTGACAACGTTTTTCCCTCATCTGTATGTCTATAAAAGTTAAAAATTTGAACTTAAACTTGGTCCTAATATGATGTAAATGAACGTATATCCAGGTAAAACCACTGTAATGGAACGTTGACTGTTCCTGAAGGTTTGATGACGAGGTATTTGTGTGTTTTATAATGGGCCTGTACCGCCGCCATTTGGTAGGGTCGCTTTTGTTTTCGTAGATAAATTAGCAGTATGAAACAGATGTATTTGAAGCCAATAAAGGTATTTTAAAGTACAACTACGGCTTCTAGCATTTTCACAGAGGTTTGGGTGTAATATAAGCAGAAGTAAGGGTTCAAATTCAAGTTTTTTGAGATCGCCACGTTGGGTGTTCTTTTGTTCAGCCCGCCGTTTGGAGGGACATTTTCATTGATTTAGCTCAGCGCTTGTGTGTGTGTGTGTGTGTGTGTGTGTGTGTGTGTGTGTGTGTGTGTGTGTGTGTGTGGTGCTTGCTTACAGCCACAGATTTTAAGCTAAAGCATGATGAAGTTCCCTTCACAGCATCTAAAAATATTACAATGGATGTAACATCACTGGTATCTGTGATGATCAATGAAACTAGGTAAGTATGTTTGTTCATCTCATCTGTGTCTAATTGTCGGTAATCTGAAAACTCCTCCTGTAACAAATCAACCTCAGGAAATAGCCATTTCCCATAATCTGATTGAGACAACTTGAGCTGCCAAGCAGCCACTTGACCGGCTGATATCAGCTAATGGAAGTAAGTAGCTGTTAGTGTCAGAATGCTGCCACACTTGCCTGAGATGCTGCTCGCATTATAGGGATGTGGGTGGCTGTGGGTTGTTGATAACAAGCTTCAGGTGACAAGCTGCCACATTGTGGAGCTGGAATAGAGATCAGTGTGGGTCAGGTACAGTTCTTCTCTACAGGTTTTAACCAAAAGGACACCATTAAGGTTGACAGCAATCACTGTCTGAAACCCTGACAAACTGCTTCTTTCTCCTGAACCTTCGACGTGGACTCACTTCACATGACTCACTTACCTAAAGGAAACTCTTTTTTTCTGTTTATGGATACAAAGGGGGATGCTGAAACTAACATTAAAAACATCAAATACAAATAAAACTACCTGTAAGAGTTTTTATCTAAAATTCATAAACTGTAAGTTTATATATATATATATATATATATAAGTTTATATATATATAGTTTTCTTTTGCAAACCCAAGATGCGCTCACGTCCACCTGGTTTTAAAACAAGATAGCATTTAATCCCTTACACTAACAGCTAAATCTTCTGCTGATCAAATCAATAAAATCAAAGATACTTTATTAATCCCTTCTCATATCTGCTATGGGGGATACCGCAGGGTTCAGTACTGGGACCCTTGCTGTTTTAAATTCATATTCTCCCATTGGGTGACATTTTACGAAAGTTTGGAATTGGATTCCATCTCTATGCCGACGACTGCCAATTGTACTTGCCTCTAGATGGCGCCGGTGATCACACAATACATTTTTTTTTTTATTGTTTGGCAGAAATTAAGATATGGTTGGCAGAAAACTTCCTGTGTCTTAATGGGGAAAAAACAGGCATTGTTGTTTGGTCCGAGTGGACATGTAGATTTTTCAAACGTAGACTGCGGTGAATTGAACTCATATTTGGATGTTTCAGCAGTCAACCTTGGCGTGAAGCTGGACAGTGCATTCTGCATGGATGCTCATGTGGGTACTGTACGTATTCTCTTCATTTTATCATTTAAGACGTTTGGCTAAAGTAAAGCCGTTTTTATCTAGACGTGACCTTGAGACTGTTGTTCATGCTTTTATTACCTCACGACTCGACTATTGTAATTCCGTTTTATTTGGTGTAAGTAAGGGTACTGTAAACCGGCTGCAGCTTGTCCAGAATGCTGCAGCAAGACTCTTGTTCAACAAAAGGAAGCATGAACATGTGACACCAATTTTGGCTGCTCTCCACTGGTTGCCTGTTGATTTTAGAATTCGTTTTAAACTTCTTTTAATGGTGTTTAAGGCGCTGAACGGTGTGGCTCCGACCTATTTGACGGAGTTGCTGCAGCCATATGTTCCGGCCCGGCCACTCCGCTCTGAGAACCAGCTGCTACTTGTGGCTCCTAAGGCCAGGTTGAAGTTGAGAGGGGACAGGGTGTTCTCTGTTGCGGGTCCGAAACTGTGGAACGCACTGCCCCTAACCATTAGGGGCTCTCCATCAGTAGCAGTTTTTAAAATGAGGCTGAAAACCTACTTTTATGATCTGGCTTTTAATTCTGTGGGTTAGAAATAGCTAATGTTTATATTTTGTAATTCTTATTTGTGGTTTTAATTATGTCTGTGGCGCTATATGTTTTATTGTTTTATTCTTTTGTTGTACAGCACCTAGGTGGCATGCTCATGCCTGTAAGGTGTTTTTTAAATAAAGACTGATTGATTGATTGATCCCAGAGGGAAATTAGAGTTTCAGTACACACGATTGAGAGATCAGACATACATGGGCAAGACACATGACAAGAATTGGTGACTGTGGTCATTCACAACCCTGAGTCGCGCCACCTTAATAGAGATAAGAGGGTTACATGAGGGTTGGTTCAGGTGGAGGGAAAAAAGGCACTTCAAAGTTACCCTCCCACCAGGAGGGCAGCTTTGCTCTGCAAAAAAACACCTCAGACATATATGCAACAGACTTCAGACAACACAACCTAAGTGTCCACTAGGAGGGGTGGTGGGTTGGGACTATCCCAACTTCAGTTCCTGCAGCCACGATTAGCAGCACATGTCACCTCAGTGTGGATAGGGGGAGGAGCATTGAGGGCTGGAGGGTTGCAGTGACCCTGGACGCTTCGGCGGCCTTCCCGCTTTTCTGCCCAGGCTGGGAAAGGAGACAGAGTTGAGTTGCCATAGAGACGGCACATTCCACATATCTTCTGAGGGGGGAGTTTTCGTTGGAGCCCTGCAGGCTCAAGGACGACAGATTCTGATTAGAAATTGTTTTGGGGCCAGACAGAGATAATTTCCTCTCTGTCTTACAGTTTGTTGGTCCTCAACCTCTCAAAATCCCAATAATGGACATTAAACTATCCCAATCCGTGCTGATTCGTCCACTCTCTCCTTGATGGCATCCATCTTTTGTGCCAAAGAATAAATCTCCGCTAAAGTTCCAATGTTACGATTCATCTCGACAATTATTTGAGTCTGTGAATTCACAGCGCGGTGCTGTAGTGTGACTGCAAGGCTAGTTTGGAGCTGAGGTGACTAGAGCGAGAGTTCAGCTGTTGTGTGTTGTTTGACCCAAGTGTGGAGTGACTGACACTGAGCAAGACTCACGCAGTTTGATAAAGAAGCTGATACGCACAGCTCGTAAGAAGACGAGCGCCCAGCAGTTCCAGAATAAGAACAGCCAGACCTACAGGAAGTCGGTAAGCTTGGTAATGTGGGCTGGTCTGGTCTGAGAACTCTGGGCACATATCTGTGGGAATGATGACTGAGTGAGGTAGGTAGGGAAAGCACTTTCTTTTGTAGAGTTGGTGGGAGATGTAAACAGGGTGTCCAGTGATGAGAGTGGATGATCTGGTGTTGGGGATGCTGGGTAATGGAGTTCTAGTGGTGGGAATGGCTGGATTGGCTTGAGGAAGTGCCTTGTGAGAAGGAGGACATGACAGGACCCCCTTACTGAGGGACATCTCCTGAAATACCAGGGCAATGTGATCTGCATGTGATAAGGGACAGGTTTGGGGCAGACCACATAAGTTCCCAGGAGCATTCTTTCGGGTCATAACCCGCCCAGTCCAAAAAGTGGCTCCCCTGGCCTCGACGGCAGGTGTCCAGTATGCAAAACACAGTGCAGACCAGGTCGCTGACCAGGTCATCGGGGTTCTGGGTCCGGTTGGGTCATATCGGAGCTAATCCGATAAGACAGGTCATATCGGAGCTAATCTATGGGTTCCTGGTAGCTCGAGGTCCATGTCCATCCTGACATCGTGATCACCTGGATCTGAACAGGGATCTCCACAAAAAGGGTATCATAGACTCAACAGATTGTGTCGGATGGTTTAATAAACAAATCTCCAGTTTACAAACATACAGCCAAATTTTTTTACAACCCAGACTTCACAAACTCTCTCAGATACTTAAGAAAGGTTTTGCTAAAACATCAAGCTTCCAGTTCAGCATTCCGCACCTCACAATGAATCACTTCATATCCATTACATTACACATCATTATTCACACCGTGTCATGCACAATCATTAGTCTAGGGAAATATAAATAAATTAATTTTCATTAATTAAACTCGACTCTGAATTCATGTGATGTGTGTTTATGGTCCCTGAATGTAAAAGCAACTAAAATATTCTGATTAAATGTTCAAAGATCAATCAAGTTGATATTTCATTTTTATATGGAATTATCACATCTTATTGGTCATTTGTTACATATGTAGCCACTCCTTAATGCTACACAGGTCTCTCTTACTTTGCATTTATAAATATAGCAATTATAGCTGCAAAATTACAGGTAGGGAACGATCTTTAGAAGCTGTTAAATGTAATTGTTTAGCTTACTCACCTCAAATAGGGCCCAAAATCTCTGTTTTGGTGAAGCAGCAGTGAATGCAATCAGGCTAATTACTGGAATGGCTTTGACTAATTTGTGAAACGCTCTTCAAACCCAGCATAACCTAGTTCAAAGTACATCACGTTGGTGAAAGATTCGCATGTAAAAGCACTAAACTGCAACGTCTAGCAGCCAAGTGTACCGATACATATAGTTTTATATCTATATTTATCAAATGTGGTGTAGACTTAGCTTGTCTTTGTCATTTACAATTTTATATTAAATAACTCGGGGCACCACCCAGTTTTGTCTGTGTGAACTGGGACACTGGATTTAATATTTATATCTTCTCAATGTAATCAGTCTCAAAGTTAACACCACATTTTAATCTGAAAGCTGAGTTCTTGTCAGAATGTGCCGGCTATTCTCGAGATCGCTAGGTATTGATCAGGCATGATTTAAGTTTTGTGAATTTATTACAAACATCAGTTGTGACACTTGACAAAGAGAACCAAACACAGCTTATTGTTTCAGGCATGAGAATAAGTAAGTGGATAAACACAAAGCTTTATGGCAGTGCTATGAAATAACTAGCCTGTAATAAAAGTGAAAATTTGGTGACACATAGGATTTTATATTAGGAATAACTTCTGTAGGGAGAACAAGTGAGCGTGTGTGTGTGTGTGTGTGTGTGTGTGTGTGTGTGTGTGTGTGTGTGTGTGTGTGTGTGTGTGTGTGTGTGTGTGTGTGTGTGTGTGTGTGTGTGTGTGCATCGCTATGGGTATAGGAATACGGGAGGGTGTGTGTGTGTGTGTGTGTGTGTGTGTGTGTGTGTGTGTGTGTGTGTGTGAATAAGGATTCGTGTGCGGCAGAGAAAGACGATAAATCTTGAGAGCTAAACGTGAATGTGGGATAGAAATAAACAAGCCATAAAAGAAATGGACTAATCTGAATTCACGAATCGAGCTTAGCACAAAAGTCAGCCAGATTAGATGTTTCACAGACCTGCTTTTCATCGCCGGGAGGGTGGCCAGCGGCTCCAACAGCCTTGGGTTCCTGGCTCGTGGCCTTTTTGGATTAAATGTTACTGGCTCCCTGTCGGTCTTGAAAGGAGAGGATGAGGTAATCGTCCATCGTGGCTTGACTTTTCGGTTCCTTCACCTCTGCGGCCTCGAAACATGGAATTTGGATCACGGGCCCAAATTATTCCAAACCAGAGCTGAATAATCAAACTGTGTTCCAAACTGCTTTTACTCTTAATGTTTCAACGAACATGCAGACTTCCAATTTCACGTAGGAAGTCAAAACAAAACAGAGTTTCTTCTAAGTGTATGCTATAAATTTTGAGAGCGACGCTTTGTTAGGCCAAGAAAGAAAAGCCATGCAGAGATTTGCTTAAGGCGTCTTTGATTCTCAAAATGCCGCCACGAGGTTCGGATGGGTATATAACCTTTAGGGCACGCCCACCTGTATCTCGCTCAAAAACCACTGGAGGGCACTGTGGCTCTTCCAAATAAATTACCTTCTCCAAGATGAAATTCCATTATCACAATTTAACACAGTTATTCATATAAAGCCTCAAAAAGTATTACTTTAGCATCAAAGTATTACTTTAAACAGGAAAGAATGAAATTCATGTCTTAAAACTGGACAGTTTTACCATTAGCATGAATTTTAACTGGAGAAACACCAAATGACAGAGATTTTACATGAAAGAAAACACAAAACAGTTTAGGTATGTGGCGGATAAGATTCTAATTTAGAGCACCTTGATTTCTATTTTCAGGGTAAACAACCTAAACACCTTCTTTGATTGTAGATAAACAGGAATGCAAGGTTTATAAAGACTCAGGTCTTGAAGCTCCCAGGAGGACCGAAAATAAATTTTCACGACTTCCCCTATCTTGAGAAAAGGGTCAGTCTGAGGTTGATGTAAAACAGCCCAGTCTTCCGATATTACTTGCGCCTCCTGATTGGCGCAGAAGGGAGGCACAGAAGGGAGGCCAGTCAAATTGGTGCAATTTACGATCCTGGATCCTTCTTCCGGCTCTTGGAAAGTACAGACGCTTTTTTCCTCCTCTCCTCCCTATCTTATCCCCAAGGCTCTTTGTCTGTCTTTGGGTGCACGGCTGCTTCTGCATTTTTTCTGGAAACTGGGAATTATTAGGCCCGAGCAGCGAAGCGCTGCGAAGGCCTATTGTATCTGCTCCGTTTCTTTTTTAGGCCCGAGCAGCGAAAGCGCTGCGAAGGCCTCTTGTTTTTGCTCTGTTTATTAGGCCCGAGCAGTGAAGCTGCGAAGGCCTATTGTATCTGCTCCGTTTATTCTTTCTTTCTTTCTTTCTTTCTTTTTTCTTCCGCGTCTTTGAATGGCCTTTAGGGGGTCTTAGCATATTCAAAAAGTCACCAAATTCTGGCTCAATATAGAAAGTGCGTGAAATTTACGTATTTCACTGGCGATGTGAAAGTTCGTAAAAAAGTGGCTGGACAGCGCCCCCTAGAAAGTGAAAAATACCCCTCTCCATAAAGCTTAGTTTATCGTACGGTTATGAAATTTGGTATACTTGTAGTACTCCACAGTCCGCACAGAAAAGTCACTTGCAACCATGGTCAATATCAAACAGGAAGTCGGCCATTTTGGGTTGAAATGGCGAATTTTAGCCATTTTGGCCATTTCTAGGGTCTATATTTGGTTGAACAGTTTGGTCATTTTTCGCACGATCGTCTCAAAAATAGTGTGCAATCGAACAGAAGCGATGGACGATTCAAATGAGAAAATAAAATTGACTTTTCGTAAATACTGAAGGGGCGGGGCCAGGCCTCAAAGTTCGAGCACTCGCCAAAAAAATTCAAATTGCTATAATTTCATAAATGAAAGAATTACAGTTAAAGTAACTTTCTGTGGACAATCGTCATCGCCCCCCGAAGACAAATGAATGGTCGATTGATGATGTCACATAAGCCCCGCCCCCTCAGGACTTAAAAGGTCAAGTTTTACTGGGAAATTTTCTAAAATTCGCCCTTTCAAATAATCATCCCAAATTTGTACCAGTTAACTGAAGACAAGTTGGGGTTGCTTGGCGTCACTTTATGGGAGTTTTCTGCAGAAGGCGGGGCTGTGGCGGCACGGCGAAGTCAGGCGTACCACTTAGGCCTTACGTTTGCCTCCCATTTCGTCATTTCTAAAGATATCGCCACGAAACTTCTTGGGAGTGATCCTAGTCCTGCCCCCCAAAAAATGTGATGTGAAAATCCGGTGGGCGTGGCCTATTTTCTGAAATAGCGCCCCCTAGGAGCATTAAAACTGTCAGCCCCAAGCCATGCTTTGACTGAGGATTACGAAATTTGGTACACTAATGTGGTGTCTCAGGACCTACAAAAAAGTCTCTTGGAGCCAAGAACCAAGTCGCACAGGAAGTCGGCCATTTTGGTCCAAGTACTCGATTTAGTGGTTTTCGCACACGTTGTTTGGAGAGTGTTGCACCATCGCCCTTTTCACCAATCACCTTCAAACTTCTGCTATAGACTCTTAAGACAAAGGGGAAAAAATTCAACCTACGGATTTTAAATAAGTATAAAGGTGTGGGCGTGGCTAAGCCTCAAACTTTGACCTGTCGCCACGCCACTCTTTTTTTTCACCGCTCCCTATTGGACTCCTTTTAACCAATCACCACCATTCACTGGCAAATAGCAGCAGACAAGTTGAGGTCACTTGGTCTATAGTACTGGCAGGTTTCGAATAAAGGCGGGGCTTTGGGATCATGGCGAAATTCACCATCACGCCATGGAAATACGTTTGTGTCTCATTTCTTCAATCATTGTGACATCACCACACAATTTCTGATGAGTGATCTTACTCTGACCCCTAATAGAATTGGACAGCTGAAGTTTGTGGGCGTGGCCTATTTTCTGAAATAGCGCCCCCTAGGACCATTAAAACTATCAGCCCCAAGCCATGCTTTGACTGAGGATCACGAAATTTGGCACACTAATGTAGTGTCTCAGGACCTACAAAAAAGTCTCTTGGAGCCAAGTACAATGTCGCACAGGAGGTCGGCCATTTTGGTCCAAGTACTCGATTTAGTGGTTTTTGCACACGTTATTAGGAGAATGATGTCTCGTCGTCCTTTCCACCGATCACCTTCAAACTCCTTCTATATACTCTTAAGACATAGAGGAAAAAATTCAACCGTCGGATTTTAAATAAGTATAAAGGTGTGGGCGTGGCTAAGCCTCAAACTTTGACCAGTCGCCATTACGTTACATGACTTAATAACTCCCATGTGCATGATCAGATCAATGTCAAACTTTGTCTGTGTGATCACTGACCACATGTGAAGACAGTGACAATGTGGACAGCTGACATCATCTAAGCCCCGCCCCCTGACTACAGGAAGTCTACTGTTTTATGGTGAAATGCCCATATTTGTCCCCTCTAATTAAGTCAACATGACACTAAGGTCATGCACTGTCTTCATGATGTTGTAATGACCATTCAGATCTGATAGCTTTTCAGAAAGGGAGGGGCTTTGATGCCATGGCGATTTCTGGCGTGACGCTGTGACCTTACGTTTGACTGTAACTTCCACAAACAGCCTCCGATTTGCCCGAGACTGAACATCACATCACCAGTGTGGTAAAGATAGAGTATCTCCTAGTGGTGAGACGTGTAATGGTGGGCTCAGAGGGGATGCTGAGTCAGGGTGAGGTGTGGACGAGGAGGCCGTTCACGGTTTCTGGTGTCGGGGTGGTTGACTTTCTGTTCTGCCAGACGTGCCCTGGTGCCCCCGGCTGCCGGCCAGGACGGAGAAGCGCGGAGCTGGGTTTGGAGAGCGTAGGGGATGGAGCGGAGGGGGTGCGGAAGGAGGGCGAGCAGCTTCGCTGCGAGGGCCGAACGACGCTGCTTGCAGCTTTAATTATTATTACGCTTTCTTTTTTCTTCCGCGTCTTTGGGTGGCCTTTAGGGGGTCTTAGCATATCCAAAAAGTCACCAAATTCTGGCCCAATATAGAAAGTGCGTGAAATTTACGTATTTCACTGGCGATGTGAAAGTTGATAAAAAAGTGGCTCGACAGCGCCCCCTAAAGAGTGAAAAATACCCCTCTCCATAAAGCTTAGTTTATCGTACAGTTATGAAATTTGGTATACTGGTACTACTCAACAGTCCGCACAAAAAAGCCTCTTGCAACCATGGTCAATATAAAACAGGAAGTCGGCCATTTTGGGTTGAAATGGCGATTTTTAGCCGTTTTGGCCATTTCTAGGGTCTATATTTGGTTGAACAGTTTCGTCATTTTTCGTACCATAGTCTCAAAAATAGTGTGCCATCGAACAGAAGCGATGGACGCTTCAAATGAGAAAATAAAATTGACTTTTCGTAAATACTGAAGGGGCGGGGCCAGGCCTCAAAGTTCGAGCACTCGCCAAAAAAATTCAAATTGCTATAATTTCACAAATGAAAGAATTACAGTTAAAGTAACTTTCTATGGATAATCGTCATCGCCCCCCGAAGACAAATGAATGGTCGCTGGATGATGTCACACAAGCCCCGCCCCCTCAGGACTTAAAACGTCAAGTTTTACTGGGAAATTTTCCAAAATTCGCCCTGTCGAATAATCAGCCCGAATTTGTAGCAGGTAACTGAAGAGAAGTTGGCGTTGCTTGACGTCACTTTATGGGTGTTTTCTGCAGAAGGCGGGGCTGTGGCGACGCGGCGAAGTCAGGCGTACCGCCGTGACCATACATGTGCCTCCCATGTCGTCATTTCTATAGATACAGTCACGAAACGTCTTGTGAGTGATCCTAGTCCGGCCCCCCAAAAGATCTCATGTGAACATCAAATGGGCGTGGCCTATTTTCTGAAATAGCGCCCCCTAGGTCCATTAAAACTGTCAGCCCCAAGCCATGCTTTGACTGAGGAGTACGAAATTTGGTACACTAATGTGGGGTCTCAGGACCTACAAAAAAGTCTCTTTGAGCCAAGTGCAAAGTCGCACAGGAAGTCGGCCATTTTGGTCCAATTACTCGATTTAGTGGTTTTCACACACGTTATTAGGAGAATGATGTCTCGTCGTCCTTTCCACCTATCACCTTCAAACTCCTGCTATATAATCTTAAGACATAGAGGAAAAAATTCAACCGTCGGATTTTATACAAGTATAAAGGTGTGGGCGTGGCTAAGCCTCAAACTTTGACCTTTCGCCATTACATTACTTGACTTAACAACTCCCATGTGCATGATCAGATCTATATCAAACTCCGTCTGTGTGATCATTGACCACATCTCAAGACAATGACAATGTGGACAGCTGACATCACCTATGCCCCGCCCCCTGACTACAGGAAGTCTATTTTTTAATGGTGAAATGCCCATATTTGTCCCCTCTACTTTAGTCAACATGACACTAAGGTCATGCACTGTCTTCATGATGTTGTAATGACCATTCAGATCTGATAGCTTTTCAGAAAGGGAAGGGCTTTGATGCCACGGCGAATTCTGGCGTGACGCCGTGACCTTACGTTTGACTGTAACTTCCACTAACAACCTCCGATCTGCCCGAGACTGAACATGGCAATCAACAATCATGCCCTTTATTCAACGAGGCACACACCGTTGGTGAAAGTTGTGTAATGTCACCACAGCGCCCCCTACACACCATTAAAACTGTAATAACTCCTACAGACGAGGTCGTAACTGCACCAAACTTGCTATGTGTACTCACACAATGGCACCCACCACAGTCCTGTGGTAAGTTGTTGATATTGCTTTAGCTCCGCCCCCTGACAGATATTAGGCCCTTAATAACACATGCATGATGCAATTCACACCAAACTGCACACAAATGACTGTCATCAACCTACAAACTTCTTCATGGAATAATTCTTAAATTTGGGACAGCGCCCCCTAGATACAAAAAACCTTTGTAACTTCTGCAAAAAAGTTCCAAACTACATCAAACATTGTGGGAGTCATCACACATCTGCAATCAACACATGTATGTGATCACTTGTTCAATTCACTTTAACTCCACCCACTTACAGCTTTTTGTCTCTAGATGACCCATGCAACGTTTGATTGATTCCAAATTAACAGAAAACCATCTTTGATGACCAAAGATGACCTCTATGGCATTTACTTGTAAATGGTCACAACGCCCCCTAGATGGGTTCAAACTTTATTAACTTCTAAAGTCAAAGTCAGAATGGCATTATACTTGGCTTGTGACATCACGTGACTGCACCAAACACATTGATGTGGTTGTTGATTCAAATCCCTGTAGCTCCGCCCCTTTCAGCTCACTGGCTTTAGATAACACACACAACGTCCGTTTGATGCCAAAATAACAGAAAACTGTCCTTGTCAACCAAAGCTGACCTCAATGGGATTTTTCTGTAATTGATCACAGCGCCCCCTAGATAACTTTAACTTTCGAAAACTTTAATAAATATGGGCAAAAAAGCACTAAAGTTGGTCTGTGTCATCACACCAACAGTGTGCTAAAGATAAAGTATGCCCTAGTGGTGAGACATGTAATATAATGGTAGGCTCGGAGGGGATGCTGATTCAGGGTGAGGTGTGGATGAGGTGACTGTTAGCTTTTCTTGGTGTCAGGGTGGTGGACGTTTCAGTCCGTGGACGTGCCCTGGTGCCCCGTGCTGCCGGCCAGGACGGAGCGGCGGGGAGTTGGGTTTGGAGAGCATCGGGGATGGAGCGGAGGGGGTGCGGAAGGAGGGTGAGCATCTTCGCTGCGAGGGCCGAACGACGCTGCTTGCAGCTTTAATTATTATTTTTATTTATTATTCCGGTGCCGCTTTGAATGGCTTTTTGGGGACCTTAACATACCCCAAAACTCACAATATTTTGCATACTTGTCAGGCCTGGTGAAAAATTTGATATTTTAAAGGTCCCAAAAAAATCGCAAAGAAATTGGCTGAACAGCGCCCCCTAGAAAATGAAAAAAAACCCTCTCCATAAAGCTTAGTTTATCGTACCGTTATGAAATTTGGTACACTTATAGTACTCAATAGTCCGCACAGAAAAGTCTCTTGCAAGCATGGTCAATATCAAACAGGAAGTCGGCCATTTTGGGTTGAAATGGCGATTTTTTGCCGTTTTGGCCGTTTTTAGGGTCCGTTTCTGATTGGATTGCTCGATCATTTTTTGCACGATCATCTCAAAAATTCTGTAAAATTGCTCAGAAGAGATGGGCGAACAAAATGAGACAATAAAATTGACTTTTCGTAAATACTGAAGGGGCGGGGCCAGGCCTCGAAGTTTGACTACTCGCCAAAAATTTTTAAATTGCTATAACTTCATAACTGAATGGAATAGAGTTACCAAACTTTCTGTGGTCATTCGTCATCACCTCACAAAGTAAATTGAATGGTCGCATGATGACATCACACAAGCCCCGCCCCCTCAGGACCAAAAAGGTTAAGTTTTACTGTGAAAGGTCCCAAATTGCCCCATTTCACTAAATCACCACAAATTTGTAGCTGGTAACTCAAGACAAGTGGGGGTTGCTTGGTGTCACATTATGTGAGTTTTCGGCAGAGGGCGGGGCTGTGGCGGCGCGGCGAAGTCAGGCGTACCGCCGTGGCCTTACGTTTGCCTCCCATTTCGTCATTTCTAAAGATATCATCACGAAACTTCTTGTGAGTGATCCTAGTCTGGCCCCCCAAAAGATCTGATGTGAACATCCGGTGGGCGTGGCCTATTTTCTGAAATAGCGCCCCCTAGGACCATTAAAACTGTCAGCCCCAAGCCATGCTTTGACTGAAGATTACGAAATTTGGTACACTAATGTGGTGTCTCAGGACCTACAAAAAAGTCTCTTGGACCCAAGTGCAAAGTCGCACAGGAAGTCGGCCATTTTGGTCCAAGTACGCGATTTACTGGTTTTCGCACACCTTGTTTGGAGAGTGATGCTCCGTCGCCCTTTTCACCAATCTCCTTGAAACGTCTGCTATATACTCTTAAGACAAAGAGGAAAAAATTCAACCGTCGGATTTTTCAAAAGTTTAACGGTGTGGGCGTGGCTAAGCCTCAAACTTTGACCTGTCGCCACGCCACTCATTTTTTCACAGCTCCCTACTGGACTCCTTTTACCCAATCAGCAGGAATCTCTGGCAAACAGCAGTAGACAACTTGAGGTCACTTGGTATCCAGTACTGGCAGGTTTCAAAAAAAGGCGGGGCTTCAGGAGCATGGCGAAAATCGCCATCACGCCGTGGAAGTATGTTTGCCTCTCATTTCTTCAGTTATCGTGATATTGCTACGAAACTTCTGGTGCGTGATCCTAGTCTGACCCCCAAGCGACATAGATATCTGAATTTAGTGGGCGTGGCCTATTTTCTTAAATAGCGCCCCCTAGGACCATTTAAACTAATAGCCCCAAGCTATGCTTTGACTGAGGATTACGAAATTTGGTACACTAATGTTGTGTCTCAGGACCTACAAAAAAGTCTCTTGGAGCCAAGCGCAAAGTCGCACAGGAAGTCGGCCATTTTGGTCCAAGTGCGCGATTTAGTGGTTTTCGCACACGTTGTTTGGAGAGTGATGCTCCGTCGCCCTTTTCACCAATCTCCTTCAAACTTCTGCTATATACTCTTAAGACATAGGGGAAAAAATTCAACCGTCGGATTTTTCAAAAGTTGAAAGATGTGGGCGTGGCTAAGCCTCAAACTTTGACCTGTCGCCACGCCACTCTTTTTTTCACAGCTCCCTACTGGACTCCTTTTACCCAAACACCAGGATTCTGTGGCAAACAGCAGTAGACAAGTTGAGGTTACTTTGTCTCCAGTACTGGCAGGTTTTGAAAAAAGGCGGGGCTTTGGGAGCATGGCGAAAATCGCCATCACGCCATGGAAATACGTTTGCCTCTCATTTCTTAAGTTATCGAGATATCACCTCGAAATTTGTTGTGAGTGATCCTAGTCTGACCCCCAATAGAAATGGACAGCTAAAATTTGTGGGCGTGGCCATTTTTCTGAAATAGCGCCCCCTAGGACCATTAAAACTGTCAGCCCCTAGCCATTCTTTGACTGAGGATTACGAAATTTGGTACACTAATGAGGTGTCTCCGGACCTACAAAAAAGTCTCTTGGAGCCAAGTGCAAAGTCGCACAGGAAGTCGGCCATTTTGGTCCAAGTACGCGATTTAGTTGTTTTGGCACACGTTGTTTGGAGAGTGATGCTCCGTTGCCCTTTTCACCAATCGCCTTCAAACTTCTGCTATTTACTCTTAAGACATAGGAGAAAAAATTCAACCGTCGGATTTTTCAAAAGTTGAAAGGTGTGGGCGTGGCTAAGTCTCAAACTTTGACCTTTCGCCATTACTTTACTTGACTTAATAACTCCCATGTGCATGATCAGATCTTTTTCGAACTTTGTCTGTGTGATCATTGACCATATCTTTAAACAATGACAATGTGGACAGCTGACATCACCTAAGCCCCGCCCCCTGAATACAGGAAGTCTATTGTTTTATGCTGAAATGCCCATATTTGTCCCCTCTAATTTAGTCAACATGACACTAAGGTCATGCACGGTCTTCATGATGCTGTAATGACCATTCAGATCTGATAGCTTTCCAGATAGGGAGGGGCTTTGATGCCATGGCGAATTCTGGCGTAACGCCGTAACCTTACAATTCAATTTAATGGTGAGCTCAGAGGGGATGCTGAGTCAGGGTGAGGTGCGGACGAGGAGGCCATTTGCGGTTTCTGGTGTCGGGGTGGTTGACGTTTCTGTTCTGCCAGACGTGCCCTGGTGCCCCGGGCTGCCGGCCAGGCCGGAGCGGCGCGGAGCTGCGAGGGCCGAACGACGCTGCTTGCAGCTTTAATTAGGCCCGAGCAGCGAAAGCGCTGCGAAGGCCTCTTGTTTTTGCTCTGATTATTTTTTGTTATTCCGTGCCCCCTTTGAACAGCTTTTTGGGGACCTTAACATACCCCAAAACTCACAATATTTTGCAAACTTGTCAGGCCTGGTGAAAAATTTGATATTTTAAAGGTCACAAAAAAATCGCAAAGAAAATGGCTGAACAGCGCCCCCTAGAAAGTGAAAAAAACCCCTCTCCATAAAGCTTAGTTTATCGTACAGTTATGAAATTTGGTACACTTGTAGTACTCAACAGTCCGCACAGAAAAGTCTCTTGCAAGCATGGTCAATATCAAACAGGAAGTCGGCCATTTTGGGTTGAAATGGCGATTTTTAGCCGTTTTTGCCGTTTTTAGGGTCCGTTTCTGATTGGATTGCTCGATCATTCTTCGCACGATCAACTCAAAAATTGTGTAAAATTGCTCAGAAGGGATGGGTGAACAAAATGAGACAAGGATTCTGACTTTTCGTATATGTTGAAGGGGCGGGGCAAGGCCTCGAAGTTTGACTACTCGCCAAAAAAATTTAAATTGCTATAACTTCATAACTGAATGGAGTAGAGTTACCAAACTTTCTGTGGTCATTTGTCATCCACCCACAAAGTAAGTTGAATAGTCGGATGATGACATCACACAAGCCCCGCCCCCTCAGGACCAAAAAGGTCAAGTTTTACTGTGAAAGGTCCCAAATTGCCCCATTTCACTCAATCACCACAAACTTGTAGCTGGTAACTCAAGACAAGTGGAGGTTGCTTTGAGTCACTTTATCGGAGTTTTCAGCAGAGGGTGGGGCTGTGGCGGCGCGGCGAAGTCAGGCGTACCGCCGTGGCCATACGTTTGCCTCCCATTTCGTCCTTTCTAAAGATATCGTCACGAATCTTCTTGTGAGTGATCCTAGTCCAGCCCCCCAAAAAATCTGATGCGAACATCCGGTGGGCGTGGCCTATTTTCTGAAATAGCGCCCCCTAGGACCATTAAAACTGTCAGCCCCAAGCCATACTTTGACTGAGGATTACGAAATTTGGTACACTAATGTGGTGTCTCAGGACCTACAAAAAAGTTTCTTGGAGCCAAGTGCAAAGTCGCACAGGAAGTCGGCCATTTTGGTCCAAGTACGCGATTTAGTGGTTTTCGCACACGTTGTTTGGAGAGTGATGCTCCGTCGCCCTTTTCACCAATCGCCTTCAAACTTCGGCTATGAACTCTTAAGAGATAGGGGGAAAAAATCAACCGTCGGATTTTTCAAAAGTTGAAAGGTGTGGGCGTGGCTAAGCCTCAAACTTTGACCTTTCACCATGCCACTCTTTTTTTCACAGCTCCCTATTGGACTCCTTTTACCCAATCACCAGGATTCTCTGGCAAATAGCAGTAGACAACTTGAGGTTACTTGGTCTCCAGTACTGGCAGGTTTCGAAAAAAGGCGGGGCTTCGGGAGCATGGCGAAAATCGCCATCACGCCATGGAAATACGTTTGTCTCTTATTTCTTCAGTTATCGAGATATCACCTCGAAATTTGTTGTGAGTGATCCTAGTCTGACCCCCAATAGAAATGGGCAGCTGAAATTTGTGGGCGTGGCCTATTTTCTGAAATAGCGCCCCCTAGGACCATTAAAACTGCCAGCCCCAAGCCATGCTTTGACTGAGGATTACGAAATTTGGGACACTAATGTGGTGTCTCAGGACCTACAAAAAAGTCTCTTGGAGCCAAGTGCAAAGTCGCACAGGAAGTCGGCCATTTTGGTCCAAGTACGCGATTTAGTGGTTTTCGCACACGTTGTTTTAAGATTGATGCTCCGTCACCCTTTTCACCAATCGCCTTCAAACTTCTGCTATGTACTCTTAAGACACAGGGGAAAAAATTCAACCGTCGGATTTTTCAAAAGTTGAAAGGTGTGGGCGTGGCTAAGCCTCAAACTTTGACCTTTCGCCATGCCACTCTTTTTTTTCACAGCTCCCTATTGGACTCCTTTTACCCAATCACCAGGATTATCTGGCAAATAGCAGTAGACAACTTGAGGTTACTTGGTCTCCAGAACTGGCAGGTTCCGAAAAAAGGCGGGGCTTCGGGAGCATGGCGAAAATCACCATCACGCCATGGAAATACGTTTGCCTCTCATTTCTTCAGTTATCGTGATATCGCAACGAAACTTCTGGTGAGTGATCCTAGTCTGACCCCCAAGAGAAATAGACAGCTGAAGTTTGTGGGCGTGGCCTATTCTCTTAAATAGCGCCCCCTAGGACCATTTAAACTAATAGCCCCAAGCCATGCTTTGACTGAGGATTACGAAATTTGGTACACTAATGTGGTGTCTCAGGACCTACAAAAAAGTCTCTTGGAGCCAAGGACAAAGTCGCACAGGAAGTCGGCCATTTTGGTCCAAGTACGCGATTTAGTGGTTTTCGCACACGTTGTTTGGAGAGTGATGCTCCGTCGCCCTTTTCACCAATCACTATCAAACTTCTGCTGTATACTCTTACGACGTAGGGGAAAAAATTCAACCGTCGGATTTTTCAAAAGTTGAAAGGTGTGGGCGTGGCTAAGCCTCAAACTTTGACCTTTCGCCATTACTTTACTTGACTTAATAACTCCCATGTGCATGATCAGATCTTTTTCAAACTTTGTCTGTGTGATCATTGACCATATCTGTAAAAAATGACAATGTGGACAGCTGACATCACCTAAGCCCCGCCCCCTGACTACAGGAAGTCTATTTTTTATGCTGAAATACCCATATTTGTCCCCTCTAATTTAGTGAACATGACACTAAGGTCATACACTGTCTTCATGATGT